ATTTGGGATTCATTAAAAAAAAAAAGGTTAGGTAATCTTTTCCTATGAATTTTTCGAAGGTAAAAATGTAGGTCACTATCCACAAAAATTTCATAGGTTTTACAGTGTGATCCCCAGAAAATCTGTAGTTAAAAGTGTGCGTTGTTTACCTATGAGACTTCCGTGAAAAAAATTTTTTTCAAAAAACAAAAAAAAAAAAAAAAAAAACTAGAAAAACCCAATTCCCAAACCAAAGGAAAATCAATTCTTTAAAAACCAAGAAAATATGGTCACATGGCCAATTCCATGAAAAATTTTGGCCATCAAATATATCATTTGGGTAGAAAATATAATTTTTTTTTTTTCCATTTTCCATGGAAAAAGAAGCATATTAAATAGGCTTTAATTTTCAAATCTAAGAATAATAAGTTATATATCCTATAAAATGTGTGATTTAAAAGCATGTTTAACAAATATAATAAAGATAATCTAAGAGTGTGTTTGATTGACTTTATTTTTCATGAAAAATATCATTTTTTCACTCAAATTTCTACTTTTAGAATGTTTGATTGACAATTTTTTCATGAAAAATATTTTCCAACTTTTAGTCATTACTCATGTGATCCTATTTTCTTAAAAAAAGGGAAAATATTTTCTATAAGGATGGATAATTTTTATTTTCCAGATAATTCATTCTCACTCTCTCTCTCATCTATCCCCTCTCTCATCTACCTATTAATAAAAAATGGACAGGTATAATTTTTTTAGGTTAAAAACTAAATTAATCAAATACATTTAATTAATAATTCTCATGCAAATAAGTTAATTGCTTAGAATTTATTATTTTATACAAATTTCATGCTCACAATCAAACGCACCAAAAGCTTTGCAAACATTCGGCTGAATCATTTTGATATGGTAAAATACTAGGCATCAATTTTATAATGTATATAATTTAGTGTGGTATCAATACTTGATAGGAAACCAAAGTTTTATTAATTCTTTAATAATGAAAGGCTAAAAATTTTATTTTGTTCGACTCTCACCGTCCTGTCATAAAATCTCCATTTCAATGGCCTATATGCTACTGATAGTTGCGTGATGTTGGTTGATTGATGACGTTAGCAAGTTCATTTATTGTCAAGTTTTAACATGTGTATCATTTCCGTTTACAATTGTATTATATCTTATTTATTCAAATTATAGTATCAACGCACACGAAGCTTTACCAAAATTTCCAACCTATTAATATGTGCAGACGCAATTGCATGCTTGCAACAAAATTAGAGAGGATGAATGGTTAATCAATATAAAGAACTATGTTGAAGACACAACACAGAAACAGCGAATTGAAAAGGTTCCATTAATGCTGCGTGAGATTGAATCCAACAAAAAATGTTATGATCCTCTTGTAGTTTCAATAGGCCCTTATCATCATGAAAAGCCAGAACTCAAAGCAGTAGAGAAGCTAAAATTTAAATATGCAAATCAATTCCGCCTTGCCTGTGGTGATCAAGTATCGATCAATCAGTTATATGCAGAGGTGGCGAAGGTGGCTGACAGTGCCCGAGAATACTATGAGGAAGGCTCAACTACAGACTATGACAACGAATCGTTCACCAAAATGATGTTTCTTGATGCTTGCTTTGTGCTTCAGTTTATGTGCATCTTAACAAAGACAGAAACGAAAGAAGAAGAAGATCAGCTACCCACAATGAAGAGTTACCTCTGTGCTTTTGTGTGGAGGGACTTGTTCTTGCTAGAGAATCAAATTCCTTTACTAGTACTAGAAGTTTTGTTGAAATTCAGGGTCGGAGGTAATATAAAGTTGATTCAGGATTTCCTTGACCTTTTCACCAGCATAAGGCCACCTGAAAAAACTTCATGCACTAATTTCGTCAAGAAATTTGTCAATAAAAGCTACTGTGATGCGGTCAAGAAATTTGTCAATGAATGCTGCCTTGGTGGTCAAACAAACGACAAAAGAGAATTACAATTGGATGGAAGCCCTCACCTTCTAGACCTAATGCGGAGACATCTCACGGAGCCACATAACTTTGAAGACAGAATCATGAAGAAATCAGATCAATGGAATTCCTATCGTTCAGTAACAGAGCTCGAAGAAGCAGGAATTCGTTTTAGAGCAAGTAAAACTCATCGTGTTACTGATGTAACGTTCAAAGATCACCTTGTTTGTGGAACTATGATACTTCCTCCTTTAGTGGTTGATGATACAACAAAACCTTTGCTATTAAACTTAGTGGCCTATGAAATGAGTCCTAATGGCCCCCATGATTCTCTCATTACGTCATATATTTGGCTAATGGATTCACTCATTGATCATGCCAATGATGTTAAAGAGCTCCGAAAGAAGGGAATTCTTGTCAACAATCTAGGCAGTGATGGACACTTGGCCACAATCTTTAACGAGATAGCTAATGGTTTGGTACCAGATCCTCGCGCATATGCACATGCTAAGGGCCAAATTGAAAAGCATTGCAGGAATAAATGCCGATTTTGGTTAGCTGAATGGATGCACATCCATTTCAGCAGTCCCTGGACCGTCCTTGCCTTTCTAGCTGCAATTTTTGCGCTTGCCCTTAGTACGGGGCAGACGTATTTTTCTGCTTTTCCACGATCCTAAGGAGACAAGCATCTCCTACAAGGAGAAGCTCTTCATTTGCAAAAGTTTATTTTTTTACTGTTCATTTGGATTTTGTTGTGTACTTCAACAACGCCTTGTATGTCGTTGTAATGTATAACATCTACTTGAAGATATTTAACAAAATATTGAGAAGAGTCATCCCTTCCCTCATGTAAATTTCTTAAAACGACCATTTTCTATAATTTTCATCCTATGGAAATTATGAGGCTGTTTGGGAGTGATTTTGAGAATTGATTTTTTGACTGTTAGGAGAAAAGTGGGATCCACCTATGAGAGAAGAAGTCAAATATGACGGTTGGAATAGTAAAATAACGGTCAAAAAATCAATTTTTTGGGTGAAAAAATGGGGTCCAAACAGCCCCTATATGTTACATTTTTTCTAGTTGAACTGACATGCCCAATTCAATTCTGGGGTAAGAAATATTCTACTCAAATAGGGATACATAGGCCCTATTTTTTCAGGGGGATGACAGGCACCCTACCAATAGGGGAGAAGGGGGACACATGTCTGTCTGAGAAGCAGAACCCCTGGGGTAAAGATGTTTAATCCTCTCGCCATTTTTTGGGAAGAGAATTCTTGGTTTTAGTATAACTAGAATGTATTTAAATATGGCAGAATTAGTATGACTGTGTAACGAGTTTTATAATACTAAACAAGTTTAGTTGACTGAGTGTTGAAAAAGACAATATATACATTTTACATGCCAATTTTCAATTATATTACTACATTAAAAAGAAAATATTCTATGACCACAGCCAAATTTTGTGTGATATTGCTTATTGTCTTGCCATGTTGTCCCGTAGTTTTCAAATGTACACCAGATTATTGCTATAATCATGAAAATCATATTATGAAAATGGAGAAAAAGGAAAAATTACCACAATGCCACAACCCTCCACCCCTGAACCACTTGACATTCGTTGGTGGTCTGGGTCGATACTTAATTTATTAATTTGTTGCTATTGGTTCTTGCAGGCAGATCTATGGCTGCTGCCTTGGAAAGTACAACAGCTGAAATTCTCACTTTGGTTCACACACGTCTCAAATCAAATTATTGGCTTGAATGCTGAATATTGCTTCAATCTTGGCTTAGATAGAAATCATTCAAATTGATATGGCTTAGATGGCCATATCAATTTGCCTAGCATGTGGGGTTGATTGAAATAAATAGAGGAATGATCAAGGGAATAAAGTAGTGGCTTATTCTGAGCTATATCGTATTAATCTATTCATGGCTTCAAGGGCATAGCAATTCACAGAACTTCAGTGCACCAACACGAGATACATGAAGTTGTGAATATGCCTTCTTGAGTTACATAAGCATTCTGAAGCAAGAACACTAGTGAGTGCAAGTTTGAGCCTTCACATAAGGAGAAATAGAGACGGCTAATGATAAAACAGACAAGGCAGTCGAAAAGTAAAGTTTTTCAAAGTTCTTTTATTGTTGTTTTCAATGTACGTCACCTAAAAGGGATTCATATTTAAGTAACTTTCCTCACTAAGCAAGTCGCAAACTTCTTTGTACTCGTACCAAGTTTTGAAACAGCCTAAAAAAAATTGCAGCCTTCACTGCCACATTATCCGACATATCAAGGCAATTCTACACAGGTTTGGGAGTTAAAAGAAGCACTAATTCGACCTAGGAAGGATTCTAACATGCAATAGAGTAACAGTATGTTTGACATGAGTATTAGACATGACCAAACACTAGAAACAACAGAGATTATAATGACTTTTCTCCTTTTTTTATATCGTCTAGTAGAATATGCAGTACTTCACCAAACAAGCACTATAAGTTTCATAGGCAACATAATGACTGCAGCCCAAAGAGTGTAGTACAAAACAAAGTATAAAAAATCCTAGATGTTGATGAATATTGCTGGGCTATGTGACGTGACAATATTAACAACTACCACTATAATCTAACATATGATAATATGCTCACAAACCACTGTCCATTTTATGCCCCAAAAAAAAAAAAAAAAAAAAAAAAGGCCTAGGGATTTTATAGAGATAACAGAGGCAAGATGAACATTACAAGTAGCGAAAATCCAGTAGACATAGCTAGCAGAGAAAATGAAACTAACAGCTTATTGAAATGATACCAATGGATTTAACTGGTACAAAAAATTACACTTCATGGAAAGACATCATTTGTTCCGCAGTTATGTACAATGATAATTTCAGTCAACTTAATCCCTAACTCAGAATGCAGAAACTCGAAAAAGATGCAATAAAATGCAGCTAACTCATATTGCATTTACTTAAAAGGTCAAAACAATAAACAGATACCGCACCTCTGGGTTGACATACAGGGAACGGATATTGGGGGTTCTCATTCTTTATCCTGTACTAAATTGTTGATCATCTTTACCAAAGGAACGGTTCCTTTTGCCATGATCTCTATCCTAGAAGTATTGTCGGCATGAGCAAAAAGCGAGAGTCCGAAAAGTATGAGATCTGGAAGAAATAGCCGAGATGACAAGAATCCATGCCAATAACGAGGTTCCAAGTCGAAAAATGCATTAAAAAACCTTCGGGTGGCTTGTAAATCAAGCTTGAGAAGAATATCCATACCAAAACAAAAGAACTCTCTTTGGCGTCTCCTTTCTATTGGCCACAAATCTTTCCAAACTTCTGAAGACAATTCTGAACCCAAAAGGCTTCTGTCAGAGCCTAAGTATTGAACTATTGCATTGGCGACAATTGGAGCAGCAGCCAGAGTCCTTGCCACCATATATCCAGTCGATGGGTGCACCATCCCAGCTGTACCACCAATCCCAACAACTCTTTGAGGTAACACTGGAAGAGGGCCCCCCATTGGAATTACACAATACTCATCCTCTTCAATTCTTCTAACTTTAATACCTAAGTGACTCAGCCGTGCTACCATTCTTTCCTTAATATCATCCATAGGTACTCCAGGACGAGCTACAAGGGATGTTTCTTCAAGGAATATTCTTTTCGATGAAAATGGCATTGCATAGAGAAAAGTTGGAATCTTACTATTTCTCTCCTTCAGCTCTTTGTTATTCTCGAGGTGTGAGTCGCGCCAATCCATGAACACCATTTTATTTACATCAAAAGGGTGTTCTTCCACTTCTGCCAAAATCCCATAGGCTACTTGATAGCCCGGATTATACGGCTTATCATACTGTACAAGACATCTGGAAAATCCAGTTGCATCAAGAACCACAGCAGCCTGAATAGTAACACCATCATTACATATCAACAAAGATTTCGATTCCTCGTGAATTACTTTCACAACCTTGGCTTGATGAAATTTAACACCATTCGAAATGCATTTCTGCATCATTTTCGATTTTAGCTGCTTCCTGTTTACCCTCCCATAAGGTCTATCAAGATCTTTAGTTGTCTTGTCGTCAATGAAAACCATAGCACCCGACCAGGTGGTGTCAAGACAATCCAACAAATCCATGGCCTCAAATTCATCAACCCAAACACCATAATTATTGGGCCAAATCAATTTAGGTGAAGGATCAATCGAGCAAACCGATAGCCCAGCTTCTGAAACTTGCTGTGCGACCGCTAGTCCTGCGGGGCCGCCACCTACAACAGCTAGATCCACCACAAGTCCCATAGAAGGATCATACATGGGAAGCTCAAATTCAAGATTTTCCTTCTTCGTTTCAGGCACAAGTTCCAAAAGGGTACTAGAACTGGAGTTAACGCAAACACTTTTCCCCAATTTTATATGTACGCTTTTCGAACCAAACCTAATGTCCTGATTCTGAGGCTTCAAAGAACCAGAGGCGCTAACTTTATTTGCAAACCCATGAAGTGGGTGCAAAAATTCAAGCTTATTATGAATTTTCAGCAAAGTATCCATAACTTCTTAAACAATATTCAAAAGGATCTCTCAATTCTTGAAGAGAATCAAAATTTCACGAATTTCTTGGATTCTCAAAGCAGAGCTATCAACTCATAGCAATGCTTGAAGAACAAATTCTGCATATACAAGATTAAAGGCAATAAATAATGGTAGAAAAGAACTGGAGAAATCTGTGGAAATGAAAATCTCTCCAAAAAAATTTACAGGCACAATGAGTTGAACACTTACTAGAATTGCAGATAGAGTTGATCGGAATAAGAAAGCATATTTTGTTGGGGCGGGGGCTGCGAGAAGCGTTTGGGGAAACTTGGCGTGCGTGAAGCATGTGATGGGCTGTAATCAACCACAAGAAAGATTGGTTTGAGGGCATCTTTGCTTGCTATCTCCAATTCTATATCCTTTTTTCTTGTCTTTTTTTTCCTCTTTTCTATGGTGCAAATATTGTACATAATGTACGAAATTAAAAATAATAATAATTATTATTCAATTTTGACATGTTCGTAGAAATAGACCAAGCAAGCATCTAGGCCTATCTTGTCCCTTGAGATGCATTCGGTATAGTGTAAATTTAATAAATATTCACTCAACCTTTACTCATTAGACTTTAACAGGTTATTCAATACTCAATCATCTTTGTATATAGCTATCCATCCACCACTCTTTTAACTCTTAGCTCTCCAAATAGGCAAAAAAATTACATGAATAACAGAAATTTTACGTCGCATATTGACAGCGTTAATTATGCCCTTGTTTGAGCTCCATTCTTTTGAAAAAAAAAATGAATTATTCAACAGTATTTTAACATCATTTCTATCGCACATTTTTCACTAAAATAATATTACACGCAAATTGAAAATTTTTCCATATTTTATAACCATACATTTCTCATCAATACACTATTCAAAAATGCATTCCTTCCCTAAAATGGGGCTCAAACAAGGGCTATGTCTAAGTCACCAAAAACGCACCAAACGAACACACCTTTATATTATTAACCCAAATTAAAATCTTATAATCAAAGCCCCCAAACCATTAAGTCATACACTAGAAGCTTTTCGACTAAAAACCAAGCTATTTAGAGATAAATTCAGTTATATAGAAAAAAATATTGGATTAATAGCTTAATTTCAAATGTATTTCCAATTAGACGATAAAAACTTCATAGCAATGGAGAATTCTTAAAATATATGATGGTCTTGTGGGTCATCACCCAATAGTGCATCTTGCATACAATATTGTATTTCATACGAGGATCTTGTGGGTCACCTATGCTCTCCATTATCCAGTGAAAAGAAGAATATCCAAACCTTACTGTGATGAGGCTAATTTTAAGGACAATTTTGAAGAAGAGAATTTTGGATTTTGAAGAGTAGGGTTTAGGAGAGAAAATAGAAGATCTTGTGAAATGTTAATGGTTGGAGAATGAATTTGGATGTGATCATTTCAGGTTGGCAACATTTAACAAAATTATTTACCACATCAGATTTCTATAAACCGCGTGTATATTTTTGTCTTTTTGGAGAGACGAGACTTAAAAAAGTGGTGGATAAGTAACTATATATAAAGATGGATAAGTATTAAGTAACCCGTTAAATTTTAGTAAGTTAATAGTAACAATTTTAAAGTTTAGTGAGGATTCATTAAATTTACTCATTGGGTTATAGCTCTAAGAATGTTAAGCCTATTTAAAACTCAATCATTTAGTTGAGTTGAATATGCATAATAACTAAAAAAGAAAAAAATAAATAAAAAATGGGGCCTTTGTAATGGTGAAGACTTTCTTGTGCAGTCCAATGCAAAATAGACTTTTGAAAAAACTTGCTTTGTATTTTTATTTTTATTATTTTTTAGAAAGTAAATACAGATGTGTGAAACCAGGACTTATCGGTTTGGATCAACGTTGAGTCCAACTAGTGAGAGTGAGATGATAGGATTCCTAGGCCTCCGAAATTGGCTCGTGCTAAATCAAGGCAAAATGGAATGAACTTTTATAATCTCTAATAAAAATAATTTCTGACTCTCGAAAAGTTTATCGAACACACATTTAAAGTGGTTATAATTTATAAGTTGTAAAAACGAAAATCAAATATATGTTTGGAAAATAAATTATAGAGTCACGAATAAAGATGTCAACGAGTTAAGCTGAAATTTGAGGCTCAGGTAAAATGTGCGAGCTTTTTTCCTAACACGAGCTGGGCCTCTTGTTCGACCAAAAAAATTAGGCTTGACTCGAGCAGGCTAGCTTTATATATATATATAGGGTAATTGGCACAAAACGTCCTTACCTTTCGAGTTTATTGTGAAAAACGTCCCTACCTTTCATTTTTTGGCATTTTTGCCCTCATTTCAACCTTTCTTTGCGCTGGACGTCCTTCCGTCCATATTCCGTCAGTTTTTCCGTTAAACATTCGGGTAATTGGCACAAAACGTCCCTACCTTTCAAGTCTATTGTGGAAAACGTCCCTACCTTTCATTTTTTGGCATTTTTGCCCTTATTTCAACCTTTCTTTGCGCTGGACGTCCTTCCGTCCATATTCCGTCAGTTTTTCCGTTAATTAAATACAAAAATACATTTTTCTTTCCATAAATAAGGGTAAAATTGTCCTCACTCACTTCACCCCTTTTTCCCGCCATCAACTTAGTCCATAAGTAACAGTAGCAACGATATGAATCTGAAAATACTTTAAATGATTAAGTTAAATAAAGAGAAAATATCATGAACACATTATATTTCACAATTCCACAACTACTGTTGCTGTCATCTTGTGTCACTGAAAAAATTTAGAAAGACATATTAAATGGGTAGTCAATTTATAATGAGTCAATTTAAAATGAGCCATTCATCTTCTTCATTGAGCCAAAAAGAGCCATTCACCATTTTGGCTCATTATAAATTGACTACCCATTTAATATGTCTTTCTAAAATTTTCCAGTGACACAAGATGACATCAACAGTAGTTGTGGAATTGTGAAATATAATGTGTTCACGATATTTTTTCTTTATTTAACTTAATCATTTAAAGTATTTTCAGATTCATGTCGCTGCTACTGTTACTTATGGACTAAGTTGATGGCGGGAAAAAGGGGTGAAGTGGGTGAGGACAATTTTATCCTTGTTTATGGAAAGAAAAAGGTATTTTTGTATTTAATTAACGAAAAAACTGACGGAATATGGATGGAAGGACGTCCAGCGCAAAGAAAGGTTGAAATGAGGGCAAAAATGAAAGGTAGGGACGTTTTCCACAATAGACTTGAAAGGTAGGGACGTTTTGTGCCAATTACCCTTTAATTAACGGAAAAACTAACGGAATATGGACGGAAGGACGTCCAGCGCAAAGAAAGGTTGAAATGAGGGCAAAAATGCCAAAAAATGAAAGGTAGGGACGTTTTCCACAATAGACTTGAAAGGTAAGGACGTTTTGTGCCAATTACCCTATATATATATATTAAGTAAACTGCCTTTTAAGGCAACGCCTTAGCTACCCATTTGCATCAAACTCAAACTTCCTTCTTGTATGCATGGTAATAAAGAAACAAAAACAACAATTACTAATTCATCCCGATCGATTATAGAAGAAAAATTCTGATTAAGCTTCCTTCCTATTAATTTGGGCTCTTTCCAAAAGGCGTTAATGCAAATAAAAAAATCTCCTAGATAAGCTTCACAACCAGGTGCTACTCGAGTAAAAGCGTAAGCTAGTGATGCTTTCGGTTACTAGACTTTCGTCAGCATTGAGTCGAACTCTTCTTTGGTGTCAAGGTAATAGCTATGAATAGTCATCGACTTTCGCTATGACTCCTCTGAGTGGAGCCTTTCTTTCTTTTCTTTTTTTAAGGCCCACTGGCCGGCTCATGCTCAACCAATCTTTCAAAATGGGGCTCGACCCGAGCCTCGAGTTAGGCTGACTAGAATTTTTTCACGTCGAACCACGAGCTGCCCAAAGAGTAGAATTACCGTCCCTGGTCGTGGATATCACCAAATTTATAGATCTAAATAGATAATAATTTAAAATTAATATTTAATTTTGACACTAATGATTTTTTGGATAACAGTACCTTAGACCCTAGTTCAGCTATCCAGAGAGAGGAAGAGGAGCTAATGGCGAGTTCATCGTCGGACGATTTCTCGGTGGTGGTACTGGCGTCGGATCTAGGCGTCGATGCCCGCCCATTCTTGAACCCATCGAACCTACGACAACAAGAAGCAGCTGAAGACGACAACTGGCACGACTGCCCTTCTTATCTACCCTCCTCCGATGACCATGATTTCTCCGATCTCGAAGCCCTCCAATTCTTCCGCCTCGAACGTGGCTCTGATAATTCTGGCAATCGCATCTTCCGAATCGTCGGAAAATATTTCCCCGGTAATTAGTGGTCGGTGTGTGTTTGTGAGTGTGGCTTAATTTACACAAGCGTGCCTGTGGTACAGCTTTAGTATTTCATATTAACACCAAAACTTGATTAGATTAAGGGCATGTTTCAGCGGCTTCTTGGCTTATTTCGGCACGCACGGGCAAAAATGATGCTTAAAAGCATGGCCAAACATGCTATAAATAAATCCTAATCTGGTCCAGTCTGGTTTACCAAGCATACTGTTTTATGTTTTTCTAAATTTGGCTGCTTTGTATCATTTAGATATACTTAGTTCAGTCTTGCACAGTGAATTTTTGGGAGGTAACTGCGAGTTTATGAAGAGAGAAAGGGAAGGAAACAATTACATAATTCTTCACTTCCCTTTTACTTATCCAAATTCAGTATTTTGAAATCTTGATGTTTTCCTTACCCTCCACAAACGCTAGTCTTGAACTGCCCTTCAGTTAAATACTTGTATATTGAGAGATTGCTACTTTGGATTTTAGAAAAGAGGTACTTCCTGGATAAAAAATGTTTGTTCTTGTGTGGGTTCTTGCTGGTGTATGTTGTACTAAAAGTTTGATCTTTATGTCTTGCTTTGACCTTTAGTTGTAGGAATTATTCGATTATTGTGTGGAATTTCTTCAGAAAAGAAACAAGCGATCAATGAATTCCGAAAGCATTATTGCCTCTGTGCAAGAATCCAGATTTTGATCAATCACTCGGTTGCCATTTTACCATATTCAAGTGGTACATGCTGTCTGCCTATGCAGCTCTAAAGGCGTTTGAAAGTATAGAGATTCGGTATTAGTAATACATGATTCTGATTCATGTATAGTCTCATTATTCTCTCAATGTAACATAAATAATTATGACTTCGGAGTCTTTTCTTGATAGTTCATCTATAAATCTCAAGTTTGTGTTCTCGTGTCTAGCTTTTTAGAGCTTATCTGTTTTCTTTTCAATGTTTACAGTATCAAAAATTTTCTTCTCTTTGGAAGCGGTATGTTGTGCTAAAATTTGGGTGGAGTGATTACTATATTTACTTTTTCTATCATAGCATTTGCTCAGCATGATGGTGAAAAAAATTAGTTTGGAACTTGAATGTTTTTCTTTGAAGATGTTGACTTTATTTTGTTCTAAGCTTTCTTGATTTTGACTGAGCATCAAGTTTGAACATCAAGAGCTGATGAAAAAAGAATAGCTAAGAACTCTCACCCACTGGTGGAATGCCATTTGAAACATTGAAACTCTATTGACTATTTCATTGGCCAAATATTATGGAGCTATCAGTGTGCAATGTCTTTTTGATGTTGATTTTTAGTGTGTTCGCACTAATGTGTTTTTATTAAAAAAAATTACTCGGGATTATTTTAATGGAACAGGATTGTAACAATTGTTTAACTTTAGATGGACAACGAGGTCTGTAATCGACTCTTGCATTTTCCTTTTTATTTTTAATTATTTCTGATAAGTGCCTTTCTTCTGTAAATTTCCTACTTGATGTGTTCCTATTTAACTATGTATTGATGCTCTTTTACATAACCAGCTGCTGTAATCAGTGGAGAACGTCTGAAAAAATATGTCTCTCACAAAATTTTGACGGAGATGCCAGAAGGGTCATTTTGTGTTGTATACATGCATAGTACCGTGCAGAAAGAGGACAATTCGCCTGGCCTTACCATCTTGAGATGGATATATGAGGAGCTACCAAACGACTCCAAAGACAGGCTTCAGGCCGTGTACTTCATTCATCCAGGGCTTCGGTCAAGGCTTGTCTTTGCTACCCTTGGCAGATTTCTCTTAAGTGGAGGGTGAGTATTTCGATATCTCAACTAGAAATCTTAAAAACTAGAGTCTTGTTTGGTGTACACACGCTGACGGTTGACATGAGCAACAAGTTCATTATGGCATGCATGGTGACATTGTACTTAATGTTCCTTTATTTTGTTTGGTATATAGCTTATACTGGAAAATCAAGTACATTAGCCGCCTTCAATACCTCTGGCAAGATATAAAGAAGGGGGTGGTCGAGATTCCAGAGTTTGTTCAACAGCACGATGATATTCTGGAACATAGACCACTTACAGATTACGGAATTGAACCAGATCCTCTCCATATGACACAAATTCCTTCCATGGCCCACACATTTGGAAGGTATGACTCGGGATGGGCGTCCAGAGAATACATGTCCTAGCCGTGGCTAAGCATAAAGAGTATTAATTGTGTTGTACCACATGAAAATCCTTGACATTATGAGCAGACACGAGCTTAATGTAATTTCATCTTCTATGTTCTGTAATAGTAGGCAGGATGATCTCTTACCTTGCCATTCTCACAAAAATAATGGGTCATGTATATAAATTGCTGGGAATTTGTAGCTTAAATCCGTACTCTTCTGCCTATTTGGTATTCTACCTTTCCTGCTTACGTTTTTACGTGTATATCTGTGTATTCTGTCTATTGGAAACACGCTGCTGCAGCTGCCGTTTAGGCATGCCTCCTACGCTTATCACCTACTCTAGAAACAAATTTTCTTCTCACAATACTATTTAGCTATCCAAACATTGTAAGTATTCCGTATTCGCGATGTAAATCAGGAAGCCCTTAAAGAATATAAGAATCCATTGCTAAGTACCCACAAGAACCATAAGGAAACATAGATCTGCTAAAGAAATTTGACTTCTCAGTTCGAAATAGTTGTCAATACAACTTCCAATATGACAAAATAGTTGAGTGTGCACAAGCCTCATAACACAAAATGTTACATTGCAGATAAAATCAGTTGCTTGACTCAGTTTCTACATCTCGAGTATATGAAATCTGCTACATGTAAAAAAAATTTCACAGATGCAATAATTGAATCCTACCTAAGCATTCCACGTGTACGTATATCTTTATCCATCATGCAATACCCATAACAGAAATTGTTAGAGAGATCTATTGTAGGGAAAATCAGTTGAACGACAAATTTCCTATGTCTAGAGTATTCCTACCTAAACATTCTATCATGTCATATATTTCATCAGTTCGACGATGTGATCTATCTCCCGAGACAAAGCCATGAAATGTACCTTTTGCTTCTAAGTAACTCCACCCGGGATGCTTCGTCATATTTCTGTTTTTCATAGAACTTCTAACTTCTTCCACTACGTCCCACTTTTCAGCACTAGCTTGCACATTACTAAAGACTGTGTGATACCCAACGTTATTGGGTTCCAACTGAAAAAGCCTTTCGGCTGCATATTCCCCAAGTTTTTTGTCCATGTTAACTCTGGAGGCGGCAAGAAGTGCACCCCAGATTCTACTGTCCGGGAAAATCACGAATTTCACGATTATGGCCAAAGCCTCCTTCGTCTTGCCAGATCGACCCAATAAGTCAACAATGCTAGTGTAGTGATCTAATTCGGGAAAAATGCCAAATCTTGACTTCATTGAACACAAGAGTTCACAGCCTTCGTGCAGAAGGCCTGAGTGGCTACAAGCAGATAATAAGCTTATAAAGGTAACAGAATTTGGCTCGATTCCGTCCTCCACCATCTGATGGAAAAGTTCCAATGCTTCGAAACCCTTTCCATGTATCGCAGAACCCTCGATCATTGATGCCCACGTTACACGATCTCTTACAAGAATTCTATTGAAACAAGTTCTTGCAGCACAAATGCTCCCACATCTAATGTACATATTAAGAGTCGAAGTCTCCAAGGATCTATTTTCTTCATTAGAACTGAAAAACGAGTTTCTTACAAGGTATCCATGGACGCTTTTACCCAATTGTAGAGCACCCATTTGTGTGCATACACGAAGAAGGTTTCTCATGTTTTCAGCCATGGGTTGAACACCTGCAGCTAACATTTGCCGAAACAATTCAATCGCCTCTTTAAAGTACCCGTTTTCAGTGAACCCCAACATCATAGCACCCCAAGTAATACAGTTTCTATACAAGACTTCTGTGAATAACTGAGTTGATGCCTCCAAGTCGGCACACTTTGCATAAAAATCTAACAAACTTGTTCGTAGGATATCATCGAAAAGTCCATTCTTTATTGAAAGGCAATGTATTTGCCTAACTTGACTAAGGTTTCCAGCCTCCGCCAACCCTGAAACGAGTAGAGTTAATGTCTCAATGTTTGGTTTTGACTCGTCCCAAATTTTACGGAAACAATTGGTCATATTCAAAGTATTTCCTTCGGAAGAATACAAAGATATCATTATATTCCAAGAAACAACATCTCGTTTGTCAATTTCATCAAAAAGAGTTTCCACATCATCAGCATTGCAAATATCAGCATACATTTTCAAGATAGAATTTTTCACAGACTGATCAACCAAGAAACCACTTTTGATTGCATAACCATGAATCTGTCTCCCTTCAAGCACACTTGAGCATATTCGTAACATCACTAAAATTGTCACCGCATTAGGCTCCACCTCTTTCCGCATTTCACTAAACAATCCAGAAGCACAACCAACATTCCTTTCACCAATATACCCCGAAATCATCGACGTCCAAGACACCAAATCCTTGTGAGGCATTTCACCAAACATCTTCAGAGCATTCACAAAACACCCATTTTTTATATAAGCCTCAATCATAGTATTGCAAAAGTAAACATCATATTCAAAACCAATTTGAACTGCCACACAGTGAATCATATCTGCAAATCTTTTGCCACTTTCAAGTAACACAACCGATCCATTCAATATTGGAAGTGTATAACTATCATGTGGAACACCCTTTTCTCTCATTAACTTATAAACACAGAATGCCGATCCATCAAAACCCGCATTAACATGTGCTTTGATGCTTGAATTCCAAAAAAAAGCATTGGGTTCATTCCAACACTTAAGAAAAGAAACAGAGCTATCAACATCATCCAATTCAACATATAAAGATATGAACTTTGAAACAATTGAAAGAGATAACTCACGCCCATTTGAGACTATTATAAAAGCATGGATTTTCTTGAGCGTTTGAAGGCTTTTGCAAGAGTTTAGACTGGATAATAGAGAAGACCACAGCTGTGGTTTAAAATAATGATAATTATGAGTTCTCAAGTGACGGGTGTAGAATAGTGAAATCGATTTCTTGATTGAAGAAGTATGAAGAAAATTTGAGGTTGAATGCAAATGAGAAAAGCGATAATGGAGCAAGACATTGCAACGAAGGGGAGGAATTTTCAAGAATTGGGAAGATTTCTTGAAGAATGCAGAAGAAGAAATTTTGAGTAGAGCAGAACCAATTAACAATCCCACATCAAGACCAAAGAAAAACTAATATAAAAGAAGAAATAGAGATGCAGTCGAGGATTATGATTAGCGCGATAAAGATGGTTAGGCGGTTGTTTGACGAACTCGACAATTCCCTTGTCGGAAAGAGTCCAAGTCGGGGGCCAATTTCACGTGTGACTTGCTGTTGTAGTTTTTAAATTAGTTCTGTAGTTCGTAAATTAACAATTAATTTTTCATCCATTCGAGTAAAAAAAAATAAATTCAAAAAGCCTATAAACCGACTCGGCTCGATAAAAAGCTCGAGGTAAAGTCCGGGCCAACCCCATTTTCTGGGGATGAGCTAAGCCGATTGGAGCTCGTTTGTATAAGCCAATGCTCTGCCAAACATCTAAAATGAAATTTGGTCCAAAAATGAGATCTGGCCTATACGCGTGCTCGTGCAGCCAGCTTGTATGCTAGCTTTTGTAACGATCAATTTTTGTATGTTCGAATAAAAAAATGAAATCAAAATGCCTATGAGCCAATTTGGCTCGAGCCAAAGTCTAGGCCAAGGCCCATTTTTGGGATCGAGCCAAGTTTGGGCTTGGCTAGAGCCCAAAAAGTTCAAACCATTTTTTTTCCAAGCCGATACCAAGTCCTGAGCTTCGGCTCGTTGCCACCATTAGCGTGAGGTTTTTGTGAGTGCCAGGGCCCATGCCCCTACGATAACTATTAAGTGGTTTTCCCTTTCTTTCAAAGATCTCAACATTTATTTTCACCTTTTTATGGTGCAGACCAATGTTGTTTAATTCATCTAATTCAATTTGCTACTCGTGAAAACCTAAACAAACACGAAGGTGAAAGAACGGTTTTATCAACTTACTAACAAAACATCGAGCAATAAGATCCACATTATTTTTGCCATAATTTGAATGATTTTCAATAATTCAATCACACGCGAAAAGACATGATACAAATAAATAAGTGTTCAAAACCTCTTGTATCGCTAATACATATCTTATTATCAAGAAAATTATTTTTAAAAAATTTGTATACTTAAGAAGGCTAGAGAGATGAGAGGGTTTAAATTATAAGGTATCAAGTTGACTACTTAGAATCAATGTGATTTAGTTAATATTGATTTTTGACGAGTTAAAAAAAATGAAAATTATGAAAAGTGAGTTAGATCATTTTACACGTGAACCAGGTTTCTCGAACAAAAACCTTAGAATGTACTTCCATTTTTCACTTTGCAAACCCACCTCACTAAATTTCTATCATTTATTTTGTCTAAAAAATGCTGGGAATTTTTTCTATTTGACCTATCACTATTCCTTTTTATTGAAAGATTTATATTATCCTTAATGAAATGATTCTCTCTATATTGTAACATATATCCTAATCTTTTAAACATTTTATCTTCTATTTTGAATATTTGAATATAAATCCATTCTATGATCTAATAAATAAGAATAATCTGCAATATATATTTCATATTTTCTAATTAAAATATTATATTCTTCAAATGGTAAATTTATATTTTCTAATTGAGAAATAATATTCTTTATTTTTTCTAACATTCTTTCTAATAGATTATCTAATCCTTCAATTGTATATCTTGACATTTATTCATACAAATAATTATCGATTAATCTCTACGATTCTTTAAGATCTTAAAAAAATTAATTCTAATTTAGCAAAAGTTTAATAGTTTTACCATGGGTTTGATCTGGACATTTATTCTTAGAATCGAGTGACTTTCGAGTTTTGAATCTGTAAACTGCTTCCTTCATTGACCTCCTACCTTCACGGAAATGTTACTATTTTAGTTACTTGCTCTCACTGTATCAACTTCTAAAGAATAAAGTTCTAGACTTCTATTAAAGAAAAACTTTCTTTTTACTAAAATAAGAAGGAAACTTTTTATTAAATCCTTCAAGAATCTATGGAAAAAAAGATTTAGAAACTCATATTGATCTCAAAATATTGGAGTTTTATTTCTATTTATATATAAGACTTCTATTTAGTAAAAAAGGATTTCCAGAAAAAATTGGTTTTTCAAATTGGATATGGTTTTAAGAGTAAGTATTGTTTACAACTCGAGATTTTAAGATAAGATGAGATGTCCTCTATCTATGACAATGTTTCTATTTATACAAGTTTATGAGACCCTATTACATCATTGTGTACATCGGCAAAGGCACACTTGCCTCTCTATTATTTTCCTCCTTGAGCCTACATCTTCACATGCTGCTTCAACCTTTTATCCAAAGAGCATATTTTTCTATTATTGTTCTTTTTCTTCAATGTCTTCACATGCAGCCGTATTATTGTTCTCCATACACCTTTGTCAAAGGTACTCTATTATTGTCATCTTCCTCTATTTCTTCACATGTAATTGGGGCACTCCCTTAGCTGGCGAGATTCTTCTATAGTGGTAGGATATCTTGAAAATTGATGTATATCGAATCTTGTAATATAGTTCTTTAAAATTTCTGACTTTCCATATCCTCCATTGGATACCAGCATCCAATTTTCATATTCGCACAAGCATGAGAATTTTTTATCAAACAAATTTTTGGCAATGTTGTAGATGACTTTAATTCCAAGTGCTCTCCTATATCTAATCCATGATTTTATCGCTGTCGGAACTTTTCTATTATTTTCTATAACATCTATTAGGAAATTGGCTACAACATATCCAATTGAGATTATGTGTTCAACTGGATAGTAAACAATTCCATCATATTCTAGACTTATTGAATAGAATTTCAAATATGTTTTCCGTCCCTTGACAAATTTGGATACTACATTTATGAATACGTCATCAAATTTCGAATTTTCAATTAAATCTTTTCCTGAATATATTAAATCCATGAATCCATAGTCTGTCATAATTTTTATAAATGAAGGGTTTCCTCCTTCGATGACTGTTATTTTGGGATAAACATTATTTTTCGAAGAGATAAAATATAAATCACTCATTTTTATTTTATAAGCAATATTGATTATTTCGGCATATTTTTCTTCTTTTTGGTCTAAAGGGATTTTTATCTTCTTAGTCTATGACGTTGATTGTTTTTGTATCTCTTTTATCTTCATATATCATAATTTTTTTGGTTGATGATACTGAAATTGAATCTCCTTTATTATCAGTTGGTATGTTGTCACGTTTGGGTTCACTGCTGCTTCCAATTGTTCCTGTTTTGTATTGGTTTGGAAAACTCATTTCTGAGCTCTTTGATATATCTGTCTCAGACAATATATCTTTTAGTTGTGCTGCAATAGCATCAACTTGATTTTTGAGTTCTATGACATATTTATGATGCTCAGTAGTGATATTCAACAATATTTTTATATTTGAGTTGAAAATCTTTGAGATTTGGGTTGCTCCAGAGTTTATATCTTCGGATTCTTCTTTAAGAAAATATGTCATTTTTGTATATATAGGATAGATTGGTATAATTCCGTGATCTTAGCTTTATCAATCAACAAATTCTATATTTCTGTTGAGAAAATTTACAAAAAAATTATTAACTCTTTGAATATGGACAATATCAAAGTTATAAAATGCTAAATAAGCTTGCCATTTATGGAGCCTTCTGTGTTAAAGTTCTGATGGTAGTTTATTTCTGACTAATCCTATAACTTGAGAATTATCAGTCTCAATAGTAAATTTCTTGGATAATAAAAATAATGAGAACTTCTTTATTCATCTAATAATTGTTAGTAATTCTTTCTCATGAATAGTGTAATTTATTTCTGCTTGGTTAAAGGCATTATTTGAATATCTACAAATTTCATTTAGATTTATTTTTAATATTGCTGCCCAATATTTATCTGAGACATCTGTATTAATAATCAAATTATTTTTTTCATCTGGTAAACTTAATTTTGGTAAATTTTTGCATTCTTCTTTTAATAATTTAATTATTTCTGTATGTTCTTCATTCCATCTTTTAGTATTTATTTTTCTTAGTAATACTTGGATTTTATGTCTTTTATTACAAAGATTTTCAATAAATCTTTCTGCATAATTTAAACAACCTAAAAATTTTTGTATTTGTTATTTTGATTCTAATTTATCTGAAAAACTTTCTATCTTTTTGGATATATGAGTCTGTAATTTTATCCCTCTTTTATCTATTGATAATCCAAAAAAATCTATCTCTTGTTTTTCTATTATAGATTTCTTTTTAGATAGTACAATTCCTTCTTTTTTACATTCGTTAATAAATTAGATTGAATTATTTCTATGTTCTTATTTACTATTAGAACATATTCATATATCATCTATATAAATAATTAAAAATTCTTTAAACTTTTTAAATATATTATCCATCTTTTTTTGATATATTTGTGGTGGATTTTTTAGACCAAATGACATAACTAACAATTCATATTTTCTTTAACGTGTGCTAAATACAGTATATTGTATACTATCTTTTTCCATTTTTATTTGCCAAAATCTTGATTATAATCAAATTTAAAATAATATTATTTTCTTTTTGCAAGATTTATTAACACTTCTTTATTTGATAGAAAGTAATCGTCAAATTTAGTATATTTATTTAATTCTTTATAATTTATGACAATCCTAGCTTTTTCTCTAACTTGTTCAGAATGTTTCATAACCATAAAGACTGGACTACTATGAGGTCCGTTACTAGGTTTAATAAGTTTTTGTTATAACAATTATTTTATCTGGTTTTTTAATTATTGTGTATCTTCTATGGTATATATTATTGGTCTGACTCTTATTATAACATTTTCTGTTAATTCTATTTTAACTTTTGGGTGACGTGGTTTCTAAAATAATAATTGATTTTCTCCATAAACTTTTTATAGTTGTTCAATTATTTTTTTCTATATTCATTTCTATTCCTGTTTTTAGAACTTTTTATATAATATTCTTTTATTTTTTATTTCATTATATATGATTGGTTTTTTTTCCTATCACCACGCTGTGCTGGCTGAACTTTATAAGGTTTAAATTCTCTAGAGATTTTTAATAAGTGTCCACAAGGTGTTTGTAGCATTATCATATAATTATTTTGTTTATAATATTGAAATTGTTGTATAAAATCATTTCCTAATAATATATCACATTTTAGTTTATCATATTTATATACTTTATTTATTGTAACTTGTTTACTTCCAAGAATTATATTAACTTTATCGACATTATTAATTATCTGAGTGCTCTTTCCTATAACTCCAATTATTTTTATGTTACTATTATTATTCCATAATTTTATTAAAAAACTTTTAAATATTGTTATATCACTTCCTGTATCTATTAAAGTACAAGTTGTTATATTTGTTTCTATAATAGTAATCTGTATAT